ATGAGATGTTGTTGCAGAAGACTAGAAGACAAGCCAGCATCTGTTACTGTAGTTCTGTCTCCGACAAAAGCCTCCAAAAGTCAAATTTCGATCTGACTCTGACCTGAACTTGGTCAGAGTCCAGATCAGACCTGGACTTGGTCTAGCTGGGTTACAGGTTACAGGCAAGATGATATGTTGTTGTAGAAGGCAACCCAGTATCTGTTACTGTAGTTGATTCAAGGACAAGCTTGGAAAGATGAGAGTTCTTTGGGAAGACTAGAAGACAATCCAGTATCTGTTATTGTACTTTTGTCTCCGATAAAAGCTAAATTATAGTAGTTGTTAAATTTGAATAATAGGATTTGTTTTAGACCTCTAAATGGGAATGATTCTTCTTTCGAGCGGACACTCGATGAGATCACTTTGGAGATGATGTGGGAGAGAGGGGAACAAGTGATTTGTATCACGGCATTTGAGGTCGATTCATTCTTCAAAACGTGTGTAAACGCGCTTTTACTCGCTCGAATTACTTACTAGGGGAAGAGTAATTTTAGGGCTGTCAAAGAGAGAGAGAGTAATTTTCCCTCTACGCCTCCCCTGTGCCACGGTGGAGAGCCGGGGAGTCACTAGAAGACAATCCAGTATCTGTTAGCCACTTTACTCGGTCACTTTACTTACTTCTCCGTTTTCTCTGAGCTATTGCTGAGAGAAAAGTAGGAAAGGCTCGCTAGAGAAGGGGCATTTAAAATTTGACATCAAAGTACAACAAAGTACATTAAAGTACATTAAAGTACATCAAAGTACAACAAAGCTTATTTTGTATGTTAAATTTCGATTTACCATAGATTTTCCTTACAGTACTACCCATCAAACTCAATTTTCTGGCCGGGTTTCTCATCGATCGTCTCTCCCTATCCGGAAACGAATGACATCGCTCAGCTAATCGAATATTTATCTCAGACACAAGTTGTGAGTGCTTTAAAAGTCTCTAGATATTGTTTAGAGATGTTTTAGAGATCTTTAGAGAGCTTTAGAGATGTTTTAGAGAGCTTTAGAGAGCTTTAGAGAGCTTTAGAGATATTTAGAGATCTTTAGAGATCTTTAGAGATCTTTAGAGATCTTTAGAGATCTTTTAGAGATATTTAGAGATCTTTAGAGATCTTTAGAGATCTTTAGAGATCTTTAGAGATCTTTAGAGATCTTTAGAGATCTTTAGAGAGCTTTAGAGAGCTTTAGAGATCTTTAGAGATGTTTTAGAGAGATCTTTAGAGATCTTTAGAGAGCTTTAGAGATCTTTAGAGATCTTTAGAGGGCTTTAGAGATGTTTTAGAGATCTTTAGAAAGCTTCAGAGAGCTTTAGAGAGCTTTAGCGATGTTTTAGAGAGCTTTAGAGATATTTAGAGATCTTTACAAAGCTTTAGAGATCTTTAGAGATCTTTAGAGAGCTTTAGAGATCTTTAGAGACTTTAGAGATATTAGCTCTAGATATCTTTAAGATTTCTGATCATTTCCAGTTCCGTTCAATCAATAACACAATGTTCTACGTGACGCAGGGGATTCTTACCGCCACCATTAAGAATATTTGTCAGTTTCAATTTAAATCAAAAACTTTAATGTCTAAATTCAAATCCTAAAGCTTATTTTAAGTATCGTATTTTCTCTAATAATAGTGCACCCAGGCGAGCCGAGTTGATGACTATTTTACTGTTTCGAAGCTTTTGCAGAAGCTCAACACTCAAATCCTCCGCTAGATCTCATCGTCAGCTACATTTTCCGATCTCACATCGATAGGTTCTGCTAAACGCTTCTCGAGATTACGAGGAATTTAAGCAACGCTCCGGGTGCACTACTATTAGAGAAAATATGGTATTCATTTATGCAAATTTGCAGCTCGTTCCCCGTTTTCCTCACTCGAGAAGCAGCTCTCATTGAAAGCGACCGCCGCTGTTCGCAAGTGGATTTTCGAGGTGAAACTTTGTGCTTAGAAATCTGTAAACATATCCTTTCTGGGGGCATTGGCATTCTTGATCTTCTTCTGAATATTGTGAGAGAAATGAAGAATTTATGACGCTAAAAGGCTGAGGCTTAGGTGTTTACCAAAACAGAGCACAACGTACAGAAAGATACAGTAGCTTTAGCTCTACAAAAAAGCTCAATTACAACAATTTCAATGGGGGATTTTTTTTGGTTACATTTGAAGTACCGTTAAAGTATTGACGAAGCTGGATGAGTGAATTGATTGAAGTCATTCATTTGATTGAGTCTACCAATTGAAATTGGTTTCATTGAGCTTGGCTTCTTACGCTTCTAAATTACTCTATCCTTCTGTATCAAATCGATTGAAGTGATTCATTTTGTTGAGTCTACCAACTGAATCTTTAGCTGAACTTTAGCTAAACTTTAGCTGAACTTTAGTTGAACTATAGCTGAACTTTAGCTGAACTTTAGTTGAACTTTAGTTGAACTATAGCTGAACTTTAGCTGAACTATAGCTGAACTTTAGTTGAACTTTAAGCTCTACAAAAAGACTCAATTACAATAATTAGTTATCTATAACAGGATTCTCATACAGAATCTTCTTGAAATCTGTAAACACATCCTTTCTGGGGCATTGGCATTCTTGATCTTCATTGGCATTGGCATTCTTGATCTTCTTCTGAATATTGTGAGAGAAATGGAGAATTTACGGCGCTAAAAGGCTTAGGCTTAGGTGTTTACCAAAATAGAGCACAAGGCACAGAAAGATACATTAAATTTAGCTCTAGAAAAAGACTCAATTACAATAATTAGTAATCTATTGGGTTGGGGAGAATGAGTCGGCGCCGAAAATGAAAAAAAATGTGTAAAACTTCAATTCGACTTCGTCAAATAATATGCGTTTGATATCCGTAGAAGGTGCTAATTTTCGGTTCCATCCGTTCATTTGTTTCCTTTTTATGTTTATTTTACGAAAATTCATGAAAAAAGAAGAATCTCTGCTACTGTACATTAGTAGAACGACAGTGTACTATGGTTCTAATAATAGAGCTATTAGAGTGCAATCTTGTCTCTTGAAACTATTGGGTTGGGGAGAATGAGTCGGCGCCGAAAATCAAAAAAATGTGTAAAACTTCAATTCGACTTCGTCAAATAATATGCGTTTGATATGAGTAGAATGGTTAACTAATTCTCTACAAAATGACATTTAAAAGAAAATTCAAACAGCGCCTCCGCTCAAGAAAAAGCCATTTTTTCACAAAAACTACAAACTGTGATCTAGAAAAAACCATTGGTGGGATCTTCCTGCAAATTTGGCAACTTAAGTAATTCAATGTGCTCTATCTTTTTTTATATAAACACCAAAGAAGGTTTATGTGAAAGAAACTGTTCAAATGATGCGTCGGACTCTTTGCCATTTTAACCAGCTGCGTTTGCAAGTTCATAAACTCCACGAAAGAAAAGCTTTGTGGAATCACTCAAAAGTCATTTTGTAGAGAAATAGTGGATCCTTTTGATGAAACCAAACGTATGTTTAAAGAAGGCTTTATGTGTGCAAAAAGTCCCTTTAAAGTTTGGCGCCGACTCATTCTCCCCAACCCAATATAACAGAATCTTCTTGAAATCTTTTCTTTCAGTTCGATCATCCCGAACTTTTCAACATCGTCATTGTGGATTTTGTGAATGAAGAATTTTGCAGACAAATTGTCAAATTGAATGACCGAAAAATGAAGAATTTGAGTTGATTAGCTGAATATCTTTTTGCAAATAGCTATTTAAATGCTTAAATTGAAATCAATTTTCATTTCTAAACGGGTATTTCACTGTGATACTGTCAAAGAAAAACGAATAAACTTTTAATGAAAATTTATCGTCAAATTCTAAATGTGAATCTAAATGCTGTATGCTAATTTTGAAGCTCTTTCTTTAGCCGATTGTTGATTTGATTTGGTTACGGTAGAGATTCCCAATGATTTGAGAGGTTTCGGCAAAAATCCCAAAGCTTTTCCCATTACTAAGCGATAGGGTTTTGTGGCGAATAACATGACGAAAACATTGACTTGAGAATGAATCGAGAACACCGCGATCATACCATATTGCAACACTGAAATTTAGCGCTAAAAAACGATTGTGAGAGCCAATTTCTATAGTTTTATAATAATCAATAGAGAAAGACCTCCCCCCCAAAGATGACAAAAGGTTCTGAGACGGCACCGGTAAAGCTTTTCATCTTGGGGGGAGGTCTTATGCGCCATTGCTTAATGGACATTCCATTAAACCATTTTTTAATGGACATTCCGTATTAGTAGGGTTTGGAATAAGCTCCCGTCTGGTATCTTCTCGTCTGTAGGAAAATTCAAAGTGTCTGTAAACGAATTAGATCTTATTGCCATGTCAAATCTGCCCTATATTTAATCTTTTTGTATCTGTGTTTCCTAACTGTACTCTTACTGTACTATCTTTAGTTTTCTCTCTTTTTTTTTGGTGAGAGGATTGTGAGAGCCAATTTCTATAGTTTTATAATAATCGATAGAGAAAGACCTCCCCCTCAAAGATGACAAAAGGTTCTGAGACGGCACAGGTAAAGCTTGTCATCTTGGGGGGAGGTCTTATGCGCTGTGAACCATTGTTTAATGGACATTCTCATCTCGGAAATCTGTTCAACGATTTGTGTCTACTGTTATCATATTACTATCGACTGCTATTTCTGGAGAGGATTATTTGAGAAGGCTAGCCTTTCTTGTTAGATAGTACAATTGATTTACTTAAATCAAACCATATTGTAACACTGAAATTTAGCGCTAAAACAGCATTGTGAGAGGCCAATTTCATTAGTTTTTATACGAATCAATAGAGAAAGACTTGACGCATGTTGAGCTTTTGCAGAAGCTCAACACTCAAATCCCTCACAAGATCTCATCGTGAGCTAAGGAAAGACTTGACGCATCTAATGATCTCAACAATGTCTCAATTCAACACCTCAATCCAAACATATTTAAGCTTAAAGTTGAATTGGTGCACTGGAAAAGATGTGTTTCCTATTTCGAGCTATTTCCTATAAATGTACACTTAGTAGTACGTTACAGTACAATTTTAAATGTCAAAGTCAAAGCTTATATGCAAAACAGACACTTACTATCACTTTGAAATCCGAAAAGCGCACAAATGAGCCCAATTACGACTGGAGTTGAATAGACGATGAATGGGATTAAAGCCTGGAAGATTTCAATGAATTTAAGATTACTTTAACTTTGAAAACTTGTATGAAAAGAGCTCTAACGAAATGCCGATGAGCTTTCAGCGTTGATGGACTCATTGTAAAAGTGTATTGTCGGAGTAAACGAATGATTTGAAAGATGACCAAAGCGACGATTAGATTGAAGAGAAGCACCTGGAATTTGTATATTTATTATATTTATTATATTTGTATATTATAAATTTCAACTTTTCTACCTCAAAAAACCACATAAACATGATCTCGTAGGAGTTTCCGATTGACGGTGGAATGATCACCCAATTCGTGTATGAGAGAAGGTTCAAAGAGTTCGGATAGTACTGTAAAGGAGTTTCCAAGGTACGGTAGTTCGTTGTATTTGTTTTTGGTACACTAACTAGTCTGGGTCGTGAGAGGAATCAAGAGATAACTGTGCCGGAAAGGATGCGTTTCAATCTCGAGCAGAAAGTACAGTACCAAGTTGTACAGGACAAGTTGTACAGTACAAGCTGTACAGCACCAGTACAGTACAAGTTATACACCACCAGTACAGTACAAGTCGTACAGCGCCAGTACAGTACAAGTTGTACAGCGCCAGTACAGTACAAGTTGTCCAGTATAAGTTGTCCAGTATAAGTTGTCCAGTACAAGTTGTACAGTACCAAGTTGTACTTTTACCGTTCCAATGTACTCTTCTTGTACAGATCGATCAAGTCTCGATATGTAGATCATAAAAATATTTGTAAATGAATAGAAGCCGTGTAGTAAGGCACAGATCTAGGTAGATAATGATAAGGCAAGAGAGGCCAGAGATTTACAATCAGATTCTAACGCTTAGACCTAGCCTGGCCTTTAGCTAGCCTAGCCTTTAGCTAGCCTGGCCTAGCTTTAGCCGAAAATACTTACCAAAAATTTTCTCATCCGTGTCGCGTACCACCATTTCTCCTCTTCAATTATCCACAAACGATAAAAGAAACAATCGACAAGTGATGAGGTTAAATTTTCCATAACAACGAGCGTAGAGATCTATAGAAGTTCTATAGAGATATCTATAGAATTTCTATATAATCTCTATAGAATATTGCTCAATTGGCTCACCATTTCCACCCAAATCCAATCATACGATGTTTTGCGAAAACACACGATGTTGACATGTAAATACCTTGAAGAGGAAGAAGAAAACCCGGACAAAAAAGCCAATTCATCAGCATGTCCAGGATGAAAGACCAAAACTGATCAAAAAGCTTTGAATACCTTTGAATAAATCCACTTTCTTACCAGTAACTGCAATAGAAAGTATTTATAAATAATCATACCTTTGGATGAATGCCAGAGAATCATATAAGCACCAAAGGAATTGATCACGATTGTCACATAGCCATTGTAATACCAGAAGAGCTAGGACAAGGGGTAAGCTTTGAATGGCGATTCGGCTTCTAGTTTTTCTCATGGAGCTCTGAACGAACCCAGGAACAAACACCAGAACTTGGCTTATGGCCTAGTCTTGCCTGGCTGGCAGTAGAGCTTTCTTTGGGGTTGTTTATGTACCTGTAACCATAGCGGATCTTCGGCTGAAATCACTGGAAAACCCACCCCACCTCGCCAACAACAAAAAAAAAAAAAAAATAAAGAAAAAAAAAAAAAAAAAGAAAAAAAGGATAAAAGGGCCCACACAAAGAAAGGAAAAAAAAAAAAAAAAAATTCCAGGGAGACGAAGATTTTCCAAAAAGTCATGTAAAGGAAGTTCCTCCAAATTTCAATTATTCGTTGAACCCGGAAAATGAAAAATTCTACATTATAGTGATTTCTAAGGAAATTTTAACTAAATTATAATATCTTTAGCTAAAGAGTCAGGAAATAGTGTAAATTGTAGTGTAAAATAGTTTAAAATAGTTTAAAATAGTTTAAAATAGTTTAAAATAGTGTAGAATAGTGTAGAATAGTGTAGAATAGTGTAGAATAGTGTAGAATAGTGTAGAATAGTCTAAAATAGTGTAAAATAGTGTAAAATAGTGTAAAAAAAGTAAATTTGTGGAATTTTCTTGCTTCTTGCTCTTTCCAGAAAAGCTTTTTGTTGTTGTTGTTCTACCGAGAAAGAACGTTACTTTTAATGCTTTTACTTTACTTTTTTGTTGTGTTTATATAATAATGTTGATATAATGAATGATATAATACTGATTAAAAAAAATACCGACTGGGGCTACCAGTGGCGAATTTATCGCATACACGAAATATATCAATCACAATACAACGACACACACAATACTAGGCTATATCTTAACTTAACCCACGTCATGACAGACGGCTCCCTAACCCTAAGCTCAATGGGGAACTAAATAGCTTTTTTGGTGGTGAAGGGAAGATGACGATGAAGGAGTGGCTTGTCACTTTAAAGAACTGGGGCCACAACCACCAGACTGCCCTCCAGAAAACCTCTCAACCCGAAGGGAAAGGAAATCCGAAGGGGGTGACCATGTCGCATGTGGGGTTCGAACCCTCGACCTTCCGATTAAGATAAAAGACACTTAACCAGTCAGCCACACGTGCTAGATTAATATAATATTTTTAATAATATAATTTTATTAGGTTGATGCAAAAGTCTTTTTCATTTTTTGAATTGAAAGCCGGAACTTGGTTTTAATTTAACCTTTTCTGATCAATTTGCTGCTCTAATCTTGTCGAGATTGTCTCAAAGGCAAGTTTTTTAAGCCAGGATCAAGTCCTAGTCTGGCTTTGCTGTATTTTTGGCTCATCAATAACCACTGGACTAAACTTGTAACGTAAACATCTGTCGATCCCTTTTTGCCGTTGGCAATCTAAGGTTTTTCGTCTTTTTCTCAGCATCAACCCATCGATTTTGACTAAAAGACTGTTTTTCAGAGGCTCGTCACCGTGAGTTTCTCATTCCGAATGTTGTACCTGATTTGGGACACGGGATTGGGGTGATTTCATAAAACAAATATTTATAATTGTCAAAACAAATATTAGGTTCATGCAAAAGTCTTTTTCATTTTTTTCGTACTTCCGTTAAAAAGTAACAAATGCACGAATTGAACAACGGTTTATTGCATTCGAAAGGCCAATTATTTTTCTGCAAAATGACATTAAAACGAGTTTTAAAATGTCTTGTGTCTAGATTTTTTTGAGAGCCTGAAGTCGGGTAGTCAAAAAAGGCGACGGCTCGATGATGCATTTTAGACGCTTTAGCTAAGGAAACCAATCTTGATTTTAATAAATAAAAGATAGAGCACAAAAAGTTCGATATTTTTTTTCAGATTTTCAGAGAAATTGATTCAGCCAATTTCTTTATAGAGGTTTTTATAGATTTTTATGAAAAACCCGTTTTCACTCTCGAATTTGCTTGAAAGTGAACCCAAATTGACTTAAAAAGATGGGAAATTCAACAATAAACACTTTTCATTTAGAGCAAACCATAGGTTAATTGATCACTTTGTTATTTTTCAAAAGAAGTACGAAAAAAATGAAAAAGACTTTTGCATCAACCTAATAATAATAATTCAAATAATATTAAGCAATATTAGAAAGCAAAAAAGATTATGGAGTTTTGGAAATTTTGGAGGTGAAGCGAAAAAATGCAAAAGATTTATTATTGATATGGAATTATTGACCCAGAAGGCAGGGGGTACTTCTTGGCTATCCCTGCTGTCAAAGAGTACTTCCTACCTACCCCTGCTGTCAAAGAGTACTTCCTACCTATCCCTGCTGTCAAAGAGTACTTCTTACCTATCCCTGCTGTCAAAGAGTACTTCCTACCTATCCCTGCTGTCAAAGAGTACTTCCTACCTATCCCTGCTGTCAAAGAGTACTTCTTACCTATCCCTGCTGTCAAAGAGTACTTCTTACCTACCCCTGCTGTCAAAGAGTACTTCTTACCTATCCCTGCTGTCAAAGAGTACTTCTTACCTACCCCTGCTGTCAAAGAGTACTTCTTACCTATCCCTGCTGTCAAAGAGTCAGGGGAGAATAATTTTCCCCCCTACGCCTCCCCTGTGCCACGGTGGAAGCTGGGGGGTCACTCGGCTAGGGTTCCTTATCTCTCTAAACCTTAGCTTTGTCTCTACCAATTTGGCTCCGTATCTTTCTAAATTTGATTCCTTATCTCTCTGAATTTGGTTCCTTATCGCTCGTCACTCGGCCACTCGGCTAGGGTTTACCCCGGGAGCCCCCGCGCCTTCCCATGGTGTGTCCTTCCATTCATGGGATTCATGGCAATTGGCTTCATGGCTTCATGGGGAATCTTCTGTATTTGATATTAGATGAGCTTAGAGGCAAATGGGCACGAGAACGGGTAGAGAAGAAAAATAGTTGAAAAACAAAGAACATTTTGAAGGTTATGATCATTTATGAAGGCCGATCATCTTCTCAAAATTCCTTATCTTTTCTTAGCCGATTAGAGTGAAATGTTGTGTTCCTTGAGATAAAGAAGTGAGCCTTTGTTGGGAAGATCGAAGTAGCTTTGGATTTATTTGGATTTATTTGGATTTGTGCAATTTTTAGCAGTTAAACATTGAGATTTCGAAAGTTTTATCAATTATCCGATCATTCATTCAATCTTTTCCTTATCCCATTCCAGTGCTTGTGCACGCGGCATTGGATGAAGTGAAACAGTCGGTGTTTATCGTTGTGTTTACGTTTGCAGTCGTACAACAGAGTCTAATTCAAATGCATATAAGGAAAAGGGATTTGACATGAAGCTTATACACGAATCTTTTACACGAATCTTTTCTACGAATCTTTTACACGAATCTTTTCCACGAATTCTAACTATTCCTCACCCTTTATAGTCGGTGTTGGTCGTTTTCGGGTTCGCGCAATTTCCCCTCAACGACGTGCATCGACTAACGCATTGATTGTAGCAACCAGTGCCCTGCCAGCTGGAAAAAGGCTTTCAATTTGTGCTTAAACACACCAATTCGGAACACACCAATTCTGATTCGTTTTTCTGATCATTTCTCTAATTCAAAATCATCCCCACAACTCACAAATGCGATCCTTGTCCAATCGGACAATTGCACAATTGCCAGCCCTTTCCTTTGAAGTTGAAGCCAGTCGAAGTTGAGATTGATTGACCGGCACAGTAATCCTGAAGGTAAACTTAGATTTTATAGATTTAAATTTAAACTTACAGAACAAGCCGATGTTTTCTTGGCCATATTATAAGAAGTCGGCAATTTTGTGAAGGCGGCAGCGCTGAATGCGATGAAGAAGAAGGAGAAGAAGAAGAATCGATTCTGAAAACATTTTTACATTTTACAATACATTGCTCAAGGTTTATAGCAAGCTACAGTGATCCGCTACACTTTTTTCGCTTCTTTTTAGCACTAGTTGTAGCTCCGTTACCCTATTCATCTACTAAACTTAGTTGTTTAGTCCTACCGTAATCCTGTCAAAGTTACAATAACCCGGGCCTCAAAGCAGGGCCTCTGACTGATCAAAAGCTCAATCTTCAGCCAAAATCTACAGCCAATCCACTATAATAACCCTACACACAAATACACTTTACAGAACAACTAGCAAGTATCCATCTAGCAATCTAGCAAGTAGCCTACACAGGCTCAGGCTCAGGCTCAGAGCTCTGCTGGTGCGCAGATCAAAAGCTGGTGCGCCGGGACTCAACCCCGCGACCTTTCACCTACTGAGCCTGAGCCTGAGCCTGAGCCTACAATACGGCTATCCACAGCTATACTCTCCCAACAATTGATTGAACCAAG